AGAAATGTAGAAAAAAGATATTGCTTATGAAATTATTAATTATCAATATACATATTTGCTAGAAAACATATTTTCACAAAACTAACTTCTATTCAATATTTTTTTTAATTTCAAAAACTTCATTTGACAACCTTTTCCATTTAAGAGGATGTGCAACAATGTTTTTATATAAAATCACCGGCGGCACTATCGGAGTTCCACGTTTAATATCAGCTTACTTTATTTTATTAAATATATTCTCGTTGTCTTTTCTTGATATAACTATCAATGTAACTGAAATGAGAACTTTCAATAATGACTATATCAATTGAAAAAAGGATCTTGACTTATTCATGAAACTATTTAATAGTGATCATTTGAGGTCGCCAAAATAATACATAAAAAGATAAAGAACTGTGATAACAAAGTTCAGCTAAGAAAAATATAATATTTATTTTCCCAAAATCTAATCGTCATATTACCAACCTTAAATAAGTTTCATTAATATGATTCAATCTTTCAATTTGAAAACCACCAAAACTTAACTCAGGTCGAACATACACGGTCGTATACGACGGTAAATCGCCGTATTTGGCCGTATTACGACACGGAGATTTACGATCGTAATACGGAGCCATGTAATACGGCCAAATACGGCGATTTACCGTCGTATACGGCCCGTATTTCACCGTATACGAACGTCGTAAAGCTCGTCCTGGGATTAGTATGTGAAATAGCAATAATATAATGCATAAAAGCTACAGATACCAAATAATATCCAAATAGAATTGAACAGAAACTTGATAGATTTTCTTGTCCCATTACTGTCGGACTTTTCATCTGAATATTTATCATATATTCTTTTCTTAAATAGAGCATTGCTTTAAGTGATTCATAGGACATGCGCTGTTCAGCAATGTGTTCTACTGAAACGAGTTACTATTGAAGATAATAATTGAATGGAACTTTTATTAGAGTGATTCATCGAGATGTGTACTGTTCAATCATGATTTTTGTTGGAATAGGTTACTTCCGAGAGAAATAATTGAACTGAAATGTAATTCGAATAATTCATTCTTAACGTACTCCTTGGGCATGGGATTTTCCGTAATCTTTCCCTTCACTGAGTATTGTTGTTTGAGCAGATCTGTTGTCATGCCTATTTATGTATTACACACCATTGTGTTATTTGCTGTTTCGCTATTCAATGTCTAGATGAATACCACGAACGTGAATAGAAACCTGATAGTAGGAATGATTCATCAGTATGATGCTCTCGTATGGCATCACCGAGTGACTACGTTCACTTCGAAGTGAGAATAATTGACTCTGAGTGGGTTACATAGTGGAATATCGCCATTGAAAACAGTCACTTGGAGCATTGACATTCTGCAACGAATACGTTAACTATTCAGTTGTGTTTTGAGCACAATAGTTAAATTGAGATTTTATCGTGAGCATT